TCATGGCGGGCGCGGGGCCGGCAACCAGGCTAGGAGTGGTTTGGCCGGGACCTAGGGCAAAGTCGGGGTCACAGAACTGAGAAGGCGGCTCGCTCAACGTGTGCGTCAGTAAGTGCTGTTTTAAATTACCCACAGTGGAGCACCCGCGCCCGCAGAGCGCACAGAGAAACGGGCGCTCCTTAGTGTGACTGCGGTGGTGGATCTCCAGCGCGCTCCTGCAAGCAAAAGGCTTGCCACAGACACGACACACAGTGCCCGGACACTTACCCCGTTCTCTGCTCAGGAACAGCAGGCTAAAGGGGGCCTCCTCCTTGATGGCCGGCCGGCCGGGCGGGGCCGCCGTGAGGTCCAGCGCGCCTCCGTTTTCGGGGCCGGGGGCAGGGCTGTCCGGCCTTTCGGTCTTTAGAGGCGCTTCCTGGGGCTCCTCCTGGTTGCTGAGGCCCGGGGACTTGGAGTGCAAGCTCTCGCTGTTGCTGTTCATGGGCGACAGGGCGTGCATGGAGGACGAGGACTCCGACAGGGCCGGGCTGCCCGCGCTCCGGCTCTCCAGGTCGCCCACGGCCGACGAGGAGTCGTTGCTCAGGTGGTCGCTCTCCCCGGACCCGTTCTCCATGGCCTTCAAGGCGGTCAGCTGCGGGCAGCTCATGACCGAGTCCATCATCTTCATCTGGTTCTCCAGGGCGGCGATGCTGGAGATGACGGAGGGCGGCGAGGGCGGGCAGGACCCCGCGTAGCACAGGAGCGGCCTGGGCGCGTCGCCGGCGGGCTCCCGCAGCTCGGCGTCGTCCTCCATGGAGTTCTCGTCCGCGTCGTCGTCGTGGCCGCTGGGGGCCTCCGCCGCCTTCTCGCCGTAGGGGAGCTCGGCGTCCATGGCGTCCGGGAAGCCGTCGGGCAGCGGCGTGTTGGGGATCTGGCCCCCCATGTGCATGCGGACATGCTGCTGCAGCACTACGGCGTTGGTGAACTTCTTCTGGCAGATGGGGCATGAGTGCTGCACCCGCAGGGGCGGCTTGGCCCGGTGCACCCCGAAGTGCGTCTTCAGGTTGCCTTTGGTGGTGAAGGCGCGCCCGCAGATCTTGCACTTGAACGGCCTCTCCCCCGTGTGCGTCCGGTAGTGCATCTTCAGGGCGCTCTGGCAGCTCAGCACGCGGTGGCAGATGACGCACTGGTTGGGGTCCGTCATCTTCTTGTCGATGTTCTCCACCAGCTGCTGCAGCTTGGACGTCTCTGATGTTTGCATGGAGTCGAGCAGCCCCCCGAAGGGAAACTTTGCCTTGAACTGGTCCGAGCCGGCGGGAAGGACCGGGCTGCACAGGCCTGTGGAGATGCTGTTGTCCGTCAGGGCCGCGGATGCGGACGTGGTGGAGACCTGCCCGCCGCTGGGGACCTCCCCTGCCCTGGTGTTCGCGCAAGGCAGGCTCACGGGCTCGGTTTTGGTCAGAGAAGACCCGCTGAGCGCTGGCTGTGGGGACTCGGCAGTCCCTGGGAGGCCCGACTCAGAGCTGTTGACGCCAGGCGACAGAGAGGTGCATTCGCTAGATGCGGGGGAGGGCCGCTGCGGGGAGCGGCTTGCAGGGGTGAGGCTGGGGGAGTCTGCGTAGCTGCTGACCCCGGGGATGGTGGGCAGGAGCTGCAGCCCAGCCGACGTGGGCACCGTGGGCAACACGGGCTTGCTGTCCAGCCAGGTGGTCACGGGCTTTTCTGGAGGCAGCGACATCCCATAGGGGATTCCGGAGCAGGTGGGCACGTTGTCCAGGTACTCCGGGACGGGGTAGGGGTTCATCTGGATGTGGGGGTACTTCTCCTTGTGCCTCTGAAAGTGGACCTTCAGATTGCCCTTGGTGGAGAAGCGGTTCCCGCAGACGTTGCACTTGAAGGGCCTCTCGCCGGTGTGGGAGCGCAGGTGGATCTGCAGGGCGCTATCGCTCCCGAACACCTTGGCACAGAATCGGCACTTGTGCTTGAAGAACGGGTCCTCGGTGCTGGCCTTGGGCTCGAACACCGACACGTTCGGGGGCTTGCCCTTGCGGTGCTTCATGAGGGCGGACAGGGGGTCCAGCGCGTTGGCGGTGGCCGCAATGCTGACCAGCGGGTTGGGGAAGATGACGCTGCTGGCGGAGGTCTGAGGTAGAAGTGGGTTTGGCAGGCTGGGGGCTGAGCTGAGGAGGGGCCCTGGCCCCAGGGCGGGGGGCGTGGAGGCGTTCTGCGGCTGTGAGTTGCTGCTGGAGGTGCCGGCCGCCAAGGCCGGGGCGGTGGAGGCCGGGGCCGCGCTGGAGGACGCCGGCCCGCTAGCCTCGGCGGTGTCGGAAGGGCCCCCGCTGGGGACGTGTGGGGTGCTTGCCCCGGAGGCCGGCTGGGACAGGTGCTGGGGGCCCTCGTAGGCAGCCGGTTGGGCAGTGGGGCCAGGAGCCACGGGCACAGGGGGGGCCCCGGCGGAGAGCTGCAGAGCCGAATGGGTGGCCAGCCCCTGGAGCTGGCTGGAGGCCGGCACGGGGGCGCTCTGAGCCGCTGTGGCTGCCCCGGGGTTCAGTGGCGGCCGCAGGGGCTGGCGGTTCATCATGGCCACCTGGCTGCGGATCTGCTCAATGAGCTGCAGCTGGTGAATCTGTTGCTGCTGCAGGGCCATCAGCTGCTCCAGGATCATGGGGATGGCCACCGCCGTCACCCCGCTGCTGGATCCCACGCTGCCTGCAGCCCTCGCGTTCTGGGAGAACTGCGCCACGGCCACCTTGGTGCTCAGGAGGGTCTCCAAGGTCACGTTGGTGTTTGGCATGCTGTATGCGGCCACAGGAGCTGGTTCGGGGATCTGAGGTAGAGGCGGCTTCCCTGGGTGTGAGGGGCCGGGGCTCTGGAAGCTTTTGTCTCCAGCCGGCTCGGCTTCCATGGGCTCCTCCTCCTTCTCGGGGGCCCTCACCTCACCGCCCTCGCCGTTCTCTGCGGGAGCTGGCTCCTCGGCAGCCTCGCTCTCCGTCGGGTCACTGGGAGAGCTTGCCGGGGAAGGTTCTGGAAACTCCTCGGACGGCGGTGCCGGCTCATCTTCATTCACAATCAGCACCAGCGGGTTTTTAGTGCAGGTCTTCTTGTGCTCCAGGAAGTCCGTCCACTTGAAGAACTCCGCACAGCACTTCTCGCACACGTTTGTCTCCTCACCTCCGCTTCTGCCCTCGCTCCCGCTGTCCCCATCGTCGGCCCCGTCCCCGGGGACGGCTACAAAAACCAAGAGATTACGTCAGCCAGAGGCTCCTGAGACAACCACCTCCATTTCAAAATTTCGCACATAAGTAAAATCAATATTTTTTATTTTGTACAAATTACCCCACTTCAACGTTCCTGACGTCCCAGAGTGTATATTCTATGACTCTTTCTAGCTGGCTAATCATTTTCTCAGCACAATCCATCAAATTATGAGGCTCTATCAATTGTGGATACTGCTTCTTAATGAAATTCCATAGAAGCCATTGATTTCCAATATTTTCATACAATCTTCAGCCACCCTGTCTGTTGGGTACAAAGCCAGCTTTCGATGGGCTCATTAGGATTTCCCCTACCATCGGGCTTCCTCATTTCCAGCAAAATTAGAGATGCCTTCGCCATTCACTTAACATTGCTAAACTAATCTGTAACCTTTCAAACTCACGTCAGCACCGGACAGGGGAGCCGGCCGCCGTGACTCTCGCCGGGTTGGACCGTGAGATTTATTGTCTTTACACGGCACAGAGACATCACACATTTAATGTAATTCTATAGAACCTTTCAAATCAATGGGCATTTATTTCACGTATGAAACTTCATCTAAATACTTTCATCGGTAAATGTAACAAAGAGAATATAAGCACTTCTTACATCCCTGCTCAGAAAAATCGTCTCCCGGAGTCCGAGTTTGATCAACAAATCAATCCCGAATCTTCTCAGCCCTTTGTACCTTCCTCACGGAGAGGGCACATTTCTACATTTTAGGATGTGCGAAAATGAGTATCATCCATATAGTCTGGGCCTAAAATTAATCATGTTTAATACAATTAATTGGCTCTGTCAGATGCAATATTTCTTGACGAAATGAACCAAAATTATATGTTGTTGTGATTAGCCAATAGAGTTCGGCGGTTTGTTAACAAACTAGAAATTATATATTTAAAGTTCATTTATGTTGACCTGTTTAACATGAGAATGTTGTACTCAGACACACTTTTTGTACCTATTTTCATCTATTCTCATAGAGAGACTTGGCAAATTATATGCTTGCGCCATAGTGGAAAACCCTCTAATTGGTTACACATGTTTAATTACTGTTGTGGGCAGCTACTTCCTGACTTCCCGTACCCTCTTGTGCCGAATAACAACCATGTTTAATGAACAGTTCTAATTCACACCTGATCAAATAAATAGCCATCCAGGAGCGAGGAATCAGCACACGAGCACATTCCTAGCTCCTATTTTTTGGTAGCTGGGATGAAAGGTAATGCTCGGCAATTACTCAGGCTCGATGTGCTGGCCTACGTATTACTGACTCGTAACTGCTTTTTGTCAACTTACAGAAGGAGTGACAGCAACAAATCAGTTTGAACAGAGACAAATGACAGCTGCAGATCAGCTCTTTGTTACCCTGCACAGCTGAGTGGGAGAACAAAACATCCTCAAGTTTGTGTCCCCGGAAATAATCTGCTGCCGTAACGGCGACAAATATACTTGCTAAGAAGTCTCCATATTTTAAGACAAAATGTCTTTTTTGAGTTTTGGAAAAAGAGTAACTTGGCCCTGATTTTAGTAGAGAAATCTGATTTTTAAAAAAATCCTGTAAAAACACTTAGTCCCTCTACAGGGAAGAAAATAAAAATATTTTTCGAGGCTAGTCAGCTGCTCTCCACGAGGCCATTATTTCCAGGTAATTTATACATGCCTTTAAAAAAATTATTAGCAGTGTTCAATTAGCATTTTCTTAACTGGCTAAACCATCTGAAGGGGGAAAAGAAGTTAGAGCTTGCAGCCCATAAAGACATGCTAGACTCTTAAACTAAATTCAGTGCTGAAGATCAGACTGCACGAAGTCTCATTACTGTATAAGGAAGGAATGTAATAGGTGTCTATAATGAGGTTGAATATAGCTGGAAGCAAAGACACAGCTGATTTATGCTGCAGATAGGCACATTAACAAAATAAATACTTGGGAGTACTTAACTTTGCTCAATGTATGCAAAATCTAATTTTAAACATGCTAAGGTTATAGAACAGGACAAAAAACAAAAAAAAAAACACAACTCCTGAAATCTTCAGGTAAATAGTTCCTGATACAGTAAGTAATCCGGCTGGAATCAATGTTACACTGTATCGTAACTATTCTAACTAAGCACAGAATAGAATATTTCTTGGGGCGCCTGGGTGGCTCAGACGGTTGGGCGTCTGCCTTCGGCTCAGGTCATGATCCCAGGGTCCTGGGATCGAGTCCCGCATCGGGCTCCCTGCTGGGCGGGGAGC